TCGGGTTGAGTGGCATGCTTTTATGACAATTATTTACTATCCTCCCCGCTACGTCGGGTTGAGTGGCATGCTTTTATGACATATTTATTTATTTATTTATTTATTTATCATCCCCGCTATGTCGGGTTGATTAGCATGCTTTTATGACATATTTGTTTATTTACTTACACTTTCTTCCCTACTGTGACGGGTCAATAGGCATGCCTTCTTAACAGGGTTATTTATCTTTTTCCCCACTATCAAAAGTTTGTGTATGTGCATGCACGCTTTCATAATTCATTTACTTACTCATTTTCTTTGACTAATAGCCATTATTTTTGTGGAAATTCATTGTTCTCCAAACTGCATTGGACTACTTCATTCTTTCCTTTGTGGGGTTTTCCTTGCCCAGTGCATTTGGGCACCAGTCAAGGTTATGGCCTCTTTGCAACCCCACAAATGAAATTTGTGCAAAATTGTTGGTAAATAATAACTTTTGCTGACTCGTCGCATCATAATTGTTAGGATGATGAGTCTCATTGAATATTTGATATATAATTTTTATCCCTAGAGGCCATAACATTTAATACACGCAACAATTTGCTACATTGTTATTATTGTTAAAACGATTAGGATAGAGGGGTTATATAATAAAAGCGGCCTGGTTTGGCCAAATCACAAACAAACAATATTCCTTGTTACCTTCTTTCTTGCTATGAATGAGACTATAAAAGTTTGTGGTACACTGAGATGGAGGAGACATAAATATATTTATGTTCTAATTCGTTACAACTTACACTCAAATGAACATAAAATATTTATAGTATAAACACAGACACAGTGTTAGGGGTGGAAGCGCTCGTTTCGATGATAAAGAAAGAAGAGTGTATCCTTGTATTCTATGCAAACAGAATGATATGTCAAAATAAAATGTGAATATGTATTTATTTATTTATTTATTTATTTTTATTTATCTTTTTTTAAATATATATATAATTCCTTCTGAAAACACATTCAATCCAACTAACAGTTTCGAAAAACAAGTTTATTATAATCCAATTGATTGCGAAACTACCATCTTTTCTTTCAAGTTCTCTTTTATATAACCGTCTTTAGCGTTTTCCGATTTCCATCTTCCGTGTTTCTTAAATAATCGGTCTTGCACGCCTCGATTTGCCGCTGCGGTTGCCCCGCCTGATCTTAAACTATGTAAACCGAATTTGTTTTTGTCCAAACCGATACTCTGGAAAGCTGATAAAATTATTTCTCTGGCTCTTCCGTAGGATATAGGATTGTTTCCTTTTCTTAACTTATAAACCTTTTCTTTTTTGGAAAAATACACATATTGAAAAATAAATATGTCTGAATTTTCTTTAATTTCGGCTAAATTTAAGTACCTATTTAAAATAGCTACGTGACATGTCTTTGAATAGGTTTTTGCTATACATATGTCCGCCCCTGCTTTGTATACATCAGTATTGCTTCTTTCTATATGAATATTCATGTGATCATTAAAGAACGTAATGTCTTTGCTCTTAATGTTTGACAATTCGGAGAATCGGAGGAACCCTGCATATCCTAATACGCACATACAGGCAATACGAATATCTGCCAAGTTGGAATGCTCGTTTGCTTACTTATCTATTAAAACAGATAAATGTTCGGGTAAAATGGGTTCTTTTTTCGTTACTGCGATAGAGACTTCTCTAAAAGCTCCTTCTTTAACGCTTTTCGTAAGGAAGGAATCGGTAGGATCTGAGAAGCCGGCTAAGTTATGAGCCCATTTAATAGCGTAGAAAGCTCCGTTCAGGAATGCTGCCGAATTTCCGGACTTGGCTAAATAAATAAAATACATGGATACGTGCTTTTCTGAAGCTGGTAAGGAGGAAAGTTTTGGGTTAAAGCTGTTGCACCAAGAACTAAATTTATTGAATGCATATTTATAATTTGAAACAGTGTTATTTGATTTTGACTTTAAGCAGTATTTCTGTAAAGATTTTTCCGAGTCCTTTTAAAACTTCGTCTTGTTCTGATGGTTGATCTTTCCATCTTCCGATAGAAAAAATATCTGAAAAACGTATAAAAACCACCGGAAATAAAAATCTATATATAGCTTCTTTTAAATCTGTCTATTCTTCTTTTACTTATCTAAAAGCTTGACTTAATGATTGACTATTGACCTTTTTTTTAACGACTATCAGTATGAATATATTATTATAAATAAAGACAATACAATAATATATATAATTCTGCCCAACTATTTCTAAAATTGATTAAAACTTCTATAATCGCTAGATCAAAAATGTTTATTCGACACAGATCAAAAAACCCTTTAATAATTTTATTACTCTCTCGCACTCTGTTATATTTATCATAACTGAAATCGTCTTCTCCGATAAAAGTTCCTTCTCACAAGAATTCTCTTTTGCTCGTAAAATTTTCACTCTCTCTCTTTCTTAATCGCTTTGTCTTAATTTCATTCTCCTTCTCTCTCTCTATTCGACACAGATCAAAAAACCCTTTAATAATTTTATTACTCTCTCGCACTCTGTTATATTTATCATAACTGAAATCGTCTTCTCCGATAAAAGTTCCTTCTCACCAGAATTCTCTTTCGCTCGTAAAATCTTCACTGTCTCTCTTTCTTAATCGCTTCGTCTTAATTTCATTCTCTTTCTCTCTCTCTTTTTTTTTATAACTTCTAAAATTCTCTCTTCTTCCGAGTTCAAATTGCCGTGACAGATATCTCAACATTTCAATTCTTTTCCTTAAAATCTCTTACGCATTCTTCGAATTAGATCGACTTTAACTGAATGCATGAGGACTCCTAAAACTCCATACATTAAGCAACAGNCCATTTGGAATGCATTCAGTGTTCTAGTGCTTCAAAATCTTCTGTTTTTGTTTATGAGACTTTGCTATGGAACCTTTTTCATGGTTGACTGGTGGATTTCTTATCAGTTGTAAATGTCATTCTATCTGTACTGTAGTAGAGTTCTTCGGATCTTTGTTAATATGAAAGTATGAAAGTATTTGTGTTTGGATATTCGTCAGGGGCGAAACGGCCGTAGGGCTTTTTTTAAAAATAAAATGGAGAGAGGAAGCTAAGTTATTCACATTCTTGGTTATACCAGCTCCCCACGGGCCGCCGCCATGGATGGAGCACTTTTTCATGGTGTTTTGACTTATTTCTCCGATATATATATATATATATATATATATATATATATATATATATATATATATATATATATATTACAAACGAACATATATAAACAAATATAATTCACTTATTTGGATTTATTATGTTTTTTTTTTAATATAAATATATCTGTTTGTCGATTTAATTATATGCACCAGGCCTTCCTCAACTGCAATGCATATTGAATGCAAACGAATTTTTTTTTCGCTCTTTCCCTTGGTCCTGCAATGGACCAAATGTTTAATACTGGCAATAACTAAATATATGGGAGGGACTAACCAATTATTTTCCCCTTCCCAATTTTGCGTAAAGGCGTCGACTGCTTCGGAGCCTGGGTTCCAAATTTTTGAATTGAACCGTTTGACTTTTGTATTTTGTGAGTTAGCAAACCTATGTACGGTAAAGGGACCGAAATGCTCTTGTATGGATTCAAAAAACTCCGGCGAAACCCCCCAATCGTCAAAATCGATAATTTTGCTCAAGTAATCGGCTGTTTCGTTTTGATTTCTGGGAATCCAGCTAATATCAAGGGAAATTCCGAAATTAATGCAAGTCTTAAAAATACTGAAGGATAAATCTTGCAATGATTTTTTCATACTTCCAGTTTGTACGATCTTGACACAATTTTGATTATCCGAAAACCATTTGACATGAGAATTTGCTATGTGATGCCCGAAAGACATAATAGCCAGATCTACTGCTTTTAACTCTCTCCACGTTGAACTCATGATAGCTTCTTGAGCAGTCAAATTTTGGTGAAAAATTTTGTTTTTTATCTCGACTGTGAAGGCGCCCGCCCCTACTTTACTGGCGTCCGAAAAAATAATAATTTCTTTTTTGACGGACTTTAAAAGCGGCCTGTTATTGTGATAACGAATATTTTGAAGCCAAAAATTGAGCTCGCTTAGAATGGGACATTTGTCTACTTCGGTTAAAGGGATATCCCAGGAAGATCGATTGACTACTGCCATAGAACAATATTTAGTATTAATTCTGCAGATGTTGCCCAGAACTGGAGACATGGAAATGATTTTTCCTACGACGCTGGCCAACTCCCTTGCTGTAAAAGAATTGAACTTAGAAATCATTTTTTTCTATTGCTATTGAAGTATTTTGAATTCGCCTTTCTGGTATTGACAGAGCAAAAGATGGGGCATCCCAAATAATACCGAGCCATTCTAAATTATCAACAGGTGCGATTCGAATATGTTTGTTACGTTGACAGATTTTCTCCCTCATCCCCGTAATTATCTGGATGGATTTTGAATCCTTATTTTCATGGGCTCTTGATTCTAGAGTTTCTAGACCGTCCAAAATATCTAAGTTGAAATTGTATGCTACTTTATTTCCTTCTCCTTTCAAGATTGTGTCGCGGGAAAGCTTTATCTTTTTCTCAAAGGATTCAACTGAACGGAATTGCTGTTCAGAAAAAGATTCGAACTAGTTTTGAACGATAGTTTTCAGTAAATCGAATGCTTCGCCCACATTAAGCGTACTGCAATTACCTTCTTGTCTTTCGGAGTCCTCGAATCGCTTTGATCATTCTCTGCTTGCAGCACGGAATGCGAAAGAGCCTTCGAATGACCTAACTCTC